TAATAAATACCTCATCTCAGAAATATAGACAGATACTGAAAGGCCGAAACGTTGTAATAAATATGGCGACAAAGATAGTCCGAATAATGTAAATAATGTACATAATACCTCATCTCAGAAATATAGACAGATACTCAAAAGCCGAAACGTTGTAATAAATATGGCGACAAAGATGAGGACAACAGTCCGAATAATGTAAATAATGTACATAATACCTCATCTCAGAAATATAGAATACTAAAGGCCGAAACGTTGTATAAATAAAGGATGAAACGTCCGAATAATGTAAATAATGTACATAATAACTCATCTCAGAAATGAAAAGCCGAAACGGCACAAAGATCAACAGTCCGAATAATGTAAATAATGTACATAATACCTCATCTCAGACATATAGACAGATACTGAAAGGCCGAAACGTTGTAATAAATATGGCAACAAAGATGAGGGCACTAGTCCGAATAATGTAAATAATGTACATAATACCTCATCTCAGAAATATAGACAGATACTCAAAAGCCGAAACGTTGTAATAAATATGGCGACAAAGATGAGGACAACAGTCCGAATAATGTAAATAATGTACATAATACCTCATCTCAGAAATATAGACAGATACTCAAAAGCCGAAACGTTGTAATAAATATGGCGACAAAGATGAGGGACTAGTCCGAATAATGTAAATAATGTACATAATACCTCATCTCAGAATATAGACAGATACTCAAAAGCCGAAACGTTGTAATAAATATGGCGACAAAGATGAGGACACTAGTCCGAATAATGTAAATAATGTACATAATACCTCATCTCAATATAGACAGATACTCAAAAGCCGAAACGTTGTAATAAATATGGCGACAAAGATGAGGACACTAGTCCGAATAATGTAAATAATGTACATAATACCTCATCTCAGAAATATAGACAGATACCGAAAAATATGCCGAAACGTTGTAATAAATATGGCGACAAAGATGAGGGGACACTAGTCCGAATAATGTAAATAATGTACATAATACCTCATCTCAGAAATATAGACAGATAAACGAAAAATATGGCCGAAACGTTGTAATAAATATGGCGACAAAGATGAGGACAAAGATAGTCCGAATAATGTAAATAATGTACATAATACCTCATCTCAGAAATATAGACAAAAGCCGAAACGTTGTAATAAATATGGCTGAAAGGTCCGAATAATGTTAATGTAATATATATGAAATATAGCAGATACTCAAAAGCCGAAACGTTGTAATAAATATGGCGACAATAGGACACTCCGAATAATGTAAATAATGTACATAATACCTCATCTCAGAAATATAGACAGATACTCAAAAGCCGAAACGTTGTAATAAATATGGCGACAAAGATGAGGACACTAGTCCGAATAATGTAAATAATGTACATAATACCTCATCTCAGAAATATAGACAGATACTCAAAAGCCGAAACGTTGTAATAAATATGGCGACAAAGATGAGGACACTAGTCCGAATAATGTAAATAATGTACATAATACCTCATCTCAGAAATATAGACAGATACTGAAAGGCCGAAACGTTGTAATATATATGGCGACGAAGATGAGGACAATAGTCCGAATAATGTAAATAATGTACATAATACCTCATCTCAGAAATATAGACAGATACTGAAAGGCCGAAACGTTGTAATATATATGGCGACGAAGATGAGGACAATAGTCAATAAATAATGTACATAATCTCGAAATAACAGATACTGAAAGGCCGAAACGTTGTAAATATATGGCGACAAAGATGAGGACAATAGTCCGAATAATGTAAATAATGTACATAATACCTCATCTCAGAAATATAGACAGATACTGAAAGGCCGAAACGTTGTAATATATATGGCGACGAAGATGAGGACAATAGTCCGAATAATGTAAATAATGTACATAATACCTCATCTCAGAAATATAGACAGATACTGAAAGGCCGAAACGTTGTAATAAATATGGCAACAAAGATGAGGACAATAGTCCGAATAATATAAATAATGTACATAATACCTCATCTCAGAAATATAGACAGATACTGAAAGGCCGAAACGTTGTAATAAATATGGCAACAAAGATGAGGACACTAGTCCGAATAATGTAAATAATGTACATAATACCTCATCTCAGAAATATAAACAGATACTGAAAGGCCGAAACGTTGTAATAAATATGGCGACAAAGATGAGGACAATAGTCCGAATAATGTAAATAATGTACATAATATAGACAGACGGAAATATAGACAGATACTTTCCTAAGGGAAGATAACGAATTCGACCTGAATGGTTTGGCCACGTCACACTGCATAACAGTCTCTGTAAGACTATTATGCAAGGCACTTTTGAATGCGGACGCAAGCGATGACAGCAATGCAAGAGCTGGTAAGAAGACATCAACAATTGGGTGGAGATGACAATGCCGGAACTCCTGAGAGCCATTGCTAACAGATCATCGAGGAGGTGTTTGTTTCTTCTGTCCTTAGGTCTCATTCGACGATTTAAATAATTGAGGAAATGATGATAATAATGTTGATTAATTAAAGTACTTTACTTTTTGATCGAGGCAGTGAAGAAAGGACTGGATTTGAATCCTAATAGATTTGTGTTCATTTTTCTGTATATTTAGAGCAAATCTGCTATTTAATCATTTGACTTATCAGTCACAAACGTACCTGGAATCGACGTGTACAAACTCTCCTCTTGATCTTCGTTTTGCGGAGCCAAACTATGATTATTTTACATAGATTTAATATTTCTTTTTACCTTCTATGCTAAATACATTGTAAAATGTGTCAATAGCTTTATTTTATAATGCATGTTTAGTCTTCGTAAGAAAACGGAAATTGAATATATTGTTGTTTCATTATCTTTGGTGATTAAATTGCGTCGAAATGTAATTTTGCTTTATAAGTTATAATAAAAAAAAATTTATTCTATGTAAGAAAATAAAAATTTAAGACATCTTTTTCTTTTTATTCTTTTATCTAAAAATGCATCGTAAAAATTTGTAAAAAAATAAATGCATTTTATAATGTATTTATGAAAGTAAATATTTTATTCATTGTAAGGAAGTAGAAATTTAATATATCTTTTTAATTTTGTTATTTTATGATAGAATAGATATTAAAACGTATAAAAATGATTTTATTTAATAATGAGTTTTTTAAGTAATATTCTCCTTTTTGTAAGCAAGTATAAAAGTCTTTTGTTTTCATGACATATTTTAAAAGTAAATCATTTAAAAACGAGACACTTAATATGGATTAACTGATCCGTATTTAGGCGTGGAAAAAAGAAAGAAAAAAAGAAAGAAGGAAAAAAGAAAAAAGAAAGAAAGAAAGAAAGAAAGAAAGAAAAAAGGGTAGAATATATGACATAAAGAAGAGGAAAGAAAGAAAAAGAAGGAAAGAAAAGGGTAGAATGAACGACATAAAGAAAGAAAGAAAGAAAGGGTTAGAATGAACAACATAAAGAAAGGGAAAGTGTATGTATGTATGTAGGTAGGTAAAAAAAAAGAAAGAAAGAAAGAAAGAAAGAAAGAAATAAAGAAAGAAAGACTGAAAAAATATTTATAAAGGAATACGTAATAGTACGATTTTATATTAATGTATTTTACAAATTTCATAGTCGGATTATAGGCGACTGAACCGGGGTAGAATAGACGACATAAAGAAGAGGAAAGAAAGAAGGGAAAAAAGAAAGAAAGGGGTAGAAAGAAAGAAAGAAAGAAAGAAAGAAAGAAAGAAAGAAAGAAAGAAAGAAAGAAACGGGTAGAATAAACAACATATAGAAGGGGAAAGTGTATGTATGTATGTATGTATGTATGTATGTATGTAGGTAGGTAGGTAGGTAGGTAGGTAGAAAGAAAGAAAGAAAGAAAGAAAGAAACGGGTAGAATAAACAACATAAAGAAGGGGAAAGTGTACGTATGTATGTATGTATGTATGTATGTAGGTAGGTAGGTAGGTAGGTAGGTAGGTAGGTAGAAAGAAAGAAAGAAAGATATAGATTGTAGAAGAAAACAGTAAAAGATTTAGGGATTTTAAAGAAAGAAAAAAAGAAGAAAACGTAAAGCAAAAAATAAAGAAAAAAAGAAGAGGACAGAATGAAAGAAATAAAGAAGGGTAAAGTGAAAGTTGAAAGAAAGAAAAAAAAGGAAGAAAGAGGTGGAATAAAATACATAAAGAAAGAAAAAGCGTACAAAGAATGAAAAAAAGGGAAAGTGTACAAAGAAAGAAAGAAAGAAAGAAAGAAAGAAAGCGTGTAGAAACAAAGTAAAAAGAAAGAACGAAAAAGAAAGAAAGGCAGGATTTAGAAACAAATACTTACAAAGAAAGGTAGTGCGTAAAAAGAAAGAAAAGTAGAAAAAATGAAAGCAAAAAGAAAGGAGGAAGGAAAGAAAGAAAGAAAGCAAGCATGCAAAAAGAAAGAAAGAGTGTACGAAGAAAGAAAGCTAGCGTGTAGAAACAAAGGAAGAAAAAAAGAAGAAAGGTATGGCCCAGAAAGAAATACATACTAAAAAAGGCAGTGAGTAAAAAGAAAGAAAGAAAAAGAAAGAAAAAAGAAAGGATGAAATAAATATAGCTAGCGTGTAAAAAGAAAGAAATAAGGGGTGTACTAAGAAAGAAAGAAAGAAAGAAAGAAAGTTAGGCATGGTCGAGAAAGAATTACATACAAAGAAAGGCAATCTGTAAAAAGAAAGAAATGAAAGAAAGGCAGAAAGAAAGAAACTTTACAACTTACAAAAATAATAAATCATTTAAAAAAAGAGACACCCAATATGGATTAACTGATCCGTATTACGGTGTGGAAAAAAGAAAATAGATAGATAGATAGATAGATAGATAGATAGATAGATAGATAGATAGATAGATAGATAGATAGATATTAAACAAGATGAGATAGATAGATAGATAGATAGATTGTTTTCGTGACATATTTTAAAAGTAAATCATTTAAAAACGAGACACTTAATATGGATTAACTGATCCGTATTTAGGCGTGGAAAAAAGAAAGAAAAAAAGAAAGAAGGAAAAAAGAAAAAAGAAAGAAAGAAAGAAAGAAAGAAAAAAGGGTAGAATATATGACATAAAGAAGAGGAAAGAAAGAAAAAGAAGGAAAGAAAAGGGTAGAATGAACGACATAAAGAAAGAAAGAAAGAAAGGGTTAGAATGAACAACATAAAGAAAGGGAAAGTGTATGTATGTATGTAGGTAGGTAAAAAAAAAGAAAGAAAGAAAGAAAGAAATAAAGAAAGAAAGAAAGAAAGACTGAAAAAATATTTATAAAGGAATACGTAATAGTACGATTTTATATTAATGTATTTTACAAATTTCATAGTCGGATTATAGGCGACTGAACCGGGGTAGAATAGACGACATAAAGAAGAGGAAAGAAAGAAAGGAAAAAAGAAAGAAAAGGGTAGAAAGAAAGAAAGGGGTAGAAAGAAAGAAAGGGGTAAAAGAAAAAAAGAAAGAAAGAAAGAAAGAAAGAAAGAAACGGGTAGAATAAACAACATAAAGAAGGGGAAATGTATGTATGTATGTATGTATGTATGTAGGTAGGTAGGTAGGTAGGTAGGTAGGTAGAAAGAAAGAAAGAAAGAAAGAAAGAAAGATATAAATAAATATAGCTAGCGTGTAAAAAGAAAGAAATAAGGGGTGTACTAAGAAAGAAAGCTTGCGTCTAGAAAGAAAGAAAGAAAGAAAGAAAGAAAGAAAGAAAGAAAGAAAGAAAGAAAGAAAATTAGGCATGGTCGAGAAAGAATTACATACAAAGAAAGGCAATGTGTAAAAAGATAGATAGATAGATAGATAGATAGATAGATAGATAGATAGATAGATATGGTTTAGAAAGAAAGAAATACAGACAAAGGCAGTGTGTAAAAATAAATAAATAAATAAATAAAGAAAGAAAGAAAGAAAGAAAGAAAGAAAGAAAGAAAGGCATGGTGCAGAAAGAAATACGTACAAAAAAAGCAGTTTATAAAAAGAAAGAAAGAAAGGTGTAAGATGAAAGACAAAGAAAAGAAAGTATAGAAAGAAAGAATGAATGGCAGTGTGTAAAAAGAAGGAAAGAAATGAAGGAAAGATGGAAAGAAAGAAAGCTAGCGTGAAGAAAGAAAGAAAAATGATATTAAGAAAGGGAAAGTGTCGAAAAAAGAAAAAAGAAAGAAAGAAAGAAAAGAAGGATGTAGAAAGAAAGAAAGCGTGTAGAAATAAATAAAGAAATAAATAAGGAAAGGAAGAAAGCTAAAGGAAAGACAGACAGAAAGAAAGAAAGAAAGAAAGAAAGAAAGAAAAAAAAAAGAAAGAAAGAGAAAGAAAGGAAGAGACAAAGAAAGGCATAGTATAGAAAGTAATACGTACAAAAAAGGCAGTCCGTAAAAATAAATTAATAAATAAAGAAAAAAAAGAAAGAAAGGCATGGTGTAGAAAGAAATACATAGAAAAAGGATGTGTGTAAAAAGATAGAAATTAAAGAAAGAAAGAAAGAAATAGGGAAAGTAAGAAATCTAAAGGACAGACAGAAAGAAAGAAAGAAAAAAGAAAGAAAGAGAAAGGAAGGAAAAGACAAAGAAATGCATAGTATAGAAAGAAATACGGACAAAGAAGGCCGTCTGGAAAAATAAAGAAAGAAAGAAAGAAAAAAGAAAGAAAGGTATGGTGTAGAAAGAAATACATAGAAAAAGGCTGTGTGTAAAAAGATAGAAATTAAAGAAAGAAAGAAAGAAAGAAAGAAAGAAATTGTTGTCGTCAGTTTTTGTTATCCAGACGTAAAACTCGATGAGCGAGATAAGTAATAATAGATAAGCAACTGAAAGAAAAGAATTTGTTGATAAGAAATATCTAGACAAAGTGCGGGGGTCGGAATAGATAAACAGGTGATACGTGGCTGGGGGGTGGGGATCATAGAAAGTAGTGGTGGGCGGTAAACTGGTGTACACTGAATTCCCGGAATGCAAAATCATTGATAAAGACTTACCCAGAAACAACATGTTATCGTCTGTTAGCTTTTATATATATATATATATATATATAAATATATATATATATTATAAATTAATTGATTTAAAAAATGTTTTTTCGCCACACAGTTCTAACCATGTTTCAAAAATGGAAGCTAAAAGCCACGAATTTAATTTTGCAATTAAATTAAAGACATTAGTTCCATTTCATCCTCAAGCGAATTTTGGAGTAACTTTTAAAATTACTGGGTTTTAAAGACACAGCTAAAATCACGTTTCCATATACAGATATATATATATATATATATATATATATATATATATATATGGGAAATGTGATCGCCGAAATTGTCTGACAGCCAAGACTGGGTTCTCCTGCTTGTGTGCTGTTGCTGTTTCCAGCAGCCACCCTCTTGACCCAGAGCAGCACTATCCACCCCCAAGGTACTTGATGTACAGCTCCGTGTTGAGTCTGAGGCCTTCACCGACAAATTCGGGAATTCTTTTCTTATCAGAACGATCAGAGTGAGTTTTCCGAGTTGACGGAGCTTCGTAATCACCATTAGACTCATACAAGCGTTTCCAAATCCTCAGCACTCTCCTCAGATTGACACCCAAACGCTCTGAAATGTTCGAATTCTGGTGCGAATGCCAAGCAGTACAGGATGCAGCTTCCCAATTTCTGGCGGATTGAATTCCGTTATGGAATTCTATTTCTCCCAGACAGTGCCCAAGTGACCCTACTATACTGTGCAGTCGACAAAATCGAAAACAGTCACCACGCATGCGTGAAATTGAAAATATAAAATAGCGACAATTTACTCATCGCACCATAAGAAATGGACAAAGTCCGACAATTTATTTATTAAAGACATTTTTATGTTTAACGTTCTTTTTTATAGATGCAAGTATTTAAGTAAATGCTCTATTTATAATAAACAGTATTAAATAACATTTACCGGCCTGAATGTCCGAGAAATTTTCATAGAAAATATTCGTCCTTTGACAGGATTCGAACCTGTATCTTATACGAAACCGTCATTTACGCTGACGTGCCCAACCTCTCGGCCACAAAGGATCGTTCGTTTGGTAAGGCCGAATTTACTGCTTATAAACTTCAATCTTCCACGAATCTCGTACATTCATAACTGCTCTTGGCGTATCAAATGTAAACAAATGACGTCATATATTAAGAAATGGACAAAGTCCGACAATTTATTTATTAAAGACATTTTTATGTTTAACGTTCTTTTTATAGATACAAGTATTTAAATAAATGCTCTGTTTATTTAATACTGTTTATTATAAACAGAGCATTTACTTAAGTACTTGTCTCTATAAAAAGAACGTTAAACATAAAAATTTCTTTTAATATATATATATATATATATATATATATATATATATATATATATATATTCCCACAAAAATGTGAAAGATTGGAATTTCTGAATTTCTAACCCTAACCTAAAACACCAGACAGCTCTTTCAAAGAAAGACCTAATAGTCTTAGAGATAAGTGTGACATATGCTTAGAAGAAAAATCAGAATAATAAAATACAATAATCAAAGCCAACTATTAAATCAGAGGAATGAATTAGTGTTAAAATGTCAACATAAAAACAAATTCAAATTTCCATATTAGTTTAACTTAATTAGTTACTATATTTCCATAATATTCACTCCCCTCTAACTCTTCAAATGTCGAATGTATAACTAATTTTAATTTCTATAACCTCTTTACCGATATTAATTATAATTTATTATCTTTCCCTTACTCTAAGATCTCCCCAACTCTCTTTCCATTAATCACTTACAACCTTTTTATCTGTATAATTGAAAGTTATTTTTAAACGCTTTTTTTATTCCTCTTTTAATTTTAAATTAATATATCATTCTTCCTATAACCGCAAGTTAATGTCATAAGGTCAATATTCGGGTTTAATTTTATAAAGCTTCTTCCCCCCTTTTTTTTTTTGCTTTCTCAGTTAAATGTCTATTCCTGACACGAACTCAGTCAACACAGGGGTTGATAAGACAAACGACCTATATCTTCGTCTGCCGAAATAGACTATTTCCCATATGAGGTGGATTTTATTTATTAATTTTGTGCTCTGCAATAATAAATTCATTGAGCTCTTTTAGTCGATCAGTTTTAATACTTTATATTACTTGGATTCACTTGGATTATATACCAATGGATTTGTTACCTTTACTATACATATATATATATATATATATATATATAATATAAAATCAAAGTCAGTTTGGATGACGAGATAGTTAACCGAATATCAAAGGCAAACAATGCCTATAGGAAGCTTAAGCATGGCCTATGGGATGCTCGTGGGATTTCACTGAAAACGAAAATCAGTATTTATAGAACAATCATTCATTCTCACCGCATTTCTTTATGGGTCAGAATCGTGAACGCCATACAGGAAGTAAATTAATCAACTTGAGGCTTTTCATAAATGCTGTCTTCATTCAATATGCAGTTATACATGACAGGACAAAATCTGTAACCCTGATCTTTTCATCAAATATGGCGTCGGTGGTATTGAATCCTTTCTGATGCAATCACAATTCATATGGGCTGGTCATGTCATCAGAATGAGTGATGATCGGATGCCGAAAATCCTCATGTATAGCCAACTTTTTCATAGTAAGTGTAATGTAGGTCGTTCTTGATTACGCTTCAAGGACAAACTTAAATACAATTTAAATGATGCAAATATCACAATAAAGAAGTTTGAACTTGCTGTTGAAAACCGAGCAAACAGGAGAATATACCGTGGTATAACTAACTTTGAAAAGAATCGTCTCAAACATCTCAGAGAATTAGGAACCAAAATTAAATCTTGGCCTAACATATCAGGAAAATATGGCGGTAAACCCTTCAGCATGTCCCTCGTGTGGATTTCTTTGTAAATCCCGTGCAGGATTGATGCCTCATACGAAACATAAACAAGTATATAATTGGTGTATACGGAATGAATTCCAATAACCAACAATTACTATTCTTAAAAGAGTGCTCAATACAAAGTAGAGATGATATAATTATTTAAAAAAAAAATTTACACACACCAATATACATGTACCCGAACATACATATATAAACACATTCATACAAGCAGAAATATACGTAAATATAAATTTAGATACACAATATAACAGGACACACAATTTTAATATCAAATTTTATCATAGAATTTAGTAATTGTTGGTTAGAATAAATTCTTTTTTAATATTACCCGTATTTTAAAGATTTGAATAGCTATTATAACATGACTCCATTGTCAAGCTTTTTGAATTTTCTTATACTTGTATTTTGATTGGTCAATCTAGTAACAGCGTTTTCCCCTTGCGAAGGATCGTTAATTAATTTGAAACTTTTAAAACCATTTATTTTACATTCAACATCATCACTTGATAGGACACCAGGGGTGTTGAAACAAAATGGCTATTTTTGTAGTGATTTGATAACATATTTATGTTATAAATTTTTTTTTTAAATAAATATATATATATATATATATATATATATATTAAAGACATTTTTATTTTTAACGTTGTTATTTTATAGATAAAACATAAAAATGTCTTTAATAAATAAATTGTCGGACCTTGTCCATTTCTTAATATATATATATATATATAAATTTAAATGTAATAGATTAAATAGTAGTAGCCAAGGTACACTTAGTTCAGAGTTATTAAAATTAATTTTGATTTAAGAAGCGCATCTTATTGACCATGGTATCATCACATTGGAGCACCAGTCTCTTATTCGGAATTTAGATATCAGTATGGTTAGTCAAATGGTAATAGTCAAACTGCTGCATACCACTCGATGGTGGGAGAGTAAATATTTACTTCTGTGGTTGCACACGTACAAAATTTCTCTATTGCGATTCGATAGCGCATTGGACGGATGGTATGTAGCAATAACAAGTTTCTCCTTTGTACACCAACTACAGAAATTAGCCGTAGAATTCTAGGACCTGGCAGATTTTAACATGTATTTACCCCCGCAAAAAAAACATGCACACGTATACTATTTATGTGAATGATATATATATATATATATATATATATATATATATATATATATATATATTAATTTTATCATGTAGATAAAAAACATTTTACTATAAAGATGCAATTCGTTTCAGTGTATTTCAACAGCACTTCGATGGGTGAGAATCTAAAATCTTTTTTCGGTTTTCGATTCTCACCCGTCGAAGTGCAGTTGAAATGCACTGAAACCAAGTTGCATCTTTGTAGTGAGTAAAATGGTTTTGTCTATATGATAAAAATTATAATAAATAAATAATTATCGCTCTACTATCGGTATCGAACCCTCTTTTGGATTAATGCTAATTAATTATTCAATCAGACATACCTAAAAGAGAATTTGCTGCCTAGACACACACACACACACACACACACACACACAC